TTAAAAAAAAAAAAAAAAATAACGGTAAAAAAAAAAAATCAAAAAAAAAAGCCCAAAAAATTGAACAAACCCTTAAATTAAAATTAAAAAAAAAAAAAAAAAAAAAAAAAAAAAAAAATACAATAATATATAGGTTTATGATAGAATTTCTTTTTTCATCGTATGATGCGAGTCATGCGAAAAGTGTCTAAAGAGGTATTAAACCGAGATCATGTACATAATGAAAGGGTCTTGTTTTTCCGAAAGAAAATCATTTTATTTTATCTCATGGTACATGAGTGTGACCACAGAAACAAACCTACCTTTTAATATATCTATTTGCATGTGAAAACAAAATTTTTTCCAAAATATACACGAATTGTAATAGCAGCTGATTTCGGATAAGTTGTGGAAATAAAAATAAAAAATTTTTTCCTTTCAAACCAATTTCAACGCGTCTAGTGTGTTATGGCGTTTATTAAATTTATCGTTCCAAGTTCGTAAAGAAAGTTTGACGCATACCACCTCACCAAACTAGGTTCAGGCTTTTTGTCAAACAAAGTTCTATCGTGACAAGTTATCTGCTAATGTTACAATTACATCCCAAATAAGTACTTATGTCATCTTTTTCTTTCACCTTCCATATCCATTCTTCAGGGATTTTCATATTAAAAAAAAAAAAAAACCAGCATGTAATATTAGGTTCCGGATATTTTCAAATGTTACGATCATGACTTTTCGTCTTATCATTTTCATTTTACATTTATTAAACAACACCGGACTGGCAATTTCTTGATAGAAGCTCGAAAGTACGAATGTGTGCATCAAGAAGAACGAGCACTATCGGTTAATATTCATCGGTTCTCTCTATTGTGAAAAAAAAACAAAAAAAAAAACCGTATATTCGTATTCGTATTAAAACATATGGCGTCTTTTCTATAAAAAAAAATTTATTTACAGGTTTATTATGAGTAAATAAATTTCATTTTCAGATTCAAAGTAGTGATCTCGACGGAAATACATCAAACTTCATCAAAGGGAGATCAAGTGATATCTTTGATGATGTGGAAACCAACAGAGGATCGAGGTCTACCACGGACATACGATCAAACTTCCGTCTTCTATTACATGTGCTTGGGTCAGGCTTCAAATCTATTCCCGCAGCGCTCTCCCAATGAAAATTATGTGTATTTTCAGGTGTGTCCTCTAATAATCGCCGTCTATCAAGTAAATCTTTTATGCTAATACAGTACTAATCAATTATCAAGTCGATGAATTGATCAATAATTAGATTAACTTTGAGATTCTTGCGATCAAAAGTTTTCATAGAGGCATCAGATATATTAAAAATCAAGTCTACCAGTAGAATGATAATCAACCTGATGTTGTCAAGCTGATTAATCACTTTTAGAAAGAGCGTAAGCAAATTTCATTGGTGCATAAAGCTTGCATACGTGACAAGCTTGATAATCAATGAACTCGCAGCAAGAAAAAAATTGAGAGACTTTGTTAAATCATTTGAATTCTTTCTAGGCATTTTTATATGCCCTAAATTCATGTATGGCCACTCTTTCTCCACTTCTACCACGACGCTTATCGACGACTACCGAATATTTATTTGAGAAATCCAACATTCAGCCACCTACCCACCCACCGTACACGAGTAACAAAGAAAAGTGACAAGCAAACACTGCAAAACGCTTGCTAAGCCACTGAAGAAACTTTGCCATCAAAAAATTCATGTCCGAAAGACTTTCTTTGCTGAAGCTTCACCTTCAGGTTCTCCCTTTCAAGATAAAAAAGTTTGTTAAAGAGAGTAAAGCAAAGAAAATATCGATCAAAAAGTCTCCATTTAAGAAACATAAAGAACTCATCGATACCGATGAGGAAGAGGACGATGAAGGACCAATAAATTATGATTTGGTATTCGACAACGGCTACAACGGGTTCCTGGAGTTATATGAGTATGAAAATCGAATGATCGATGGGAATACTGTTTTGGATGAGGAAAAAGCGTCCAAGAAAGATTGTAAAGAAATAATAGGTGGTGGCAGATATCGCCGTGGGGGAATAATACGTGACGACAAGAGTTTACGTAAAGCTATACTATGGAAATGCAGGAGGAATACGGAGAAGAAAAAAGAAGTTTCCAAATCAATGAGTGGTTTAAAGAATGATGAAAAATGTGGTGTGCTAAAGAAAAAATGTCGACAGGTAGGCAGGCCGTTAATATGATTTTGTTACTTCAATTGTTATATTTCTAATATTCAAAATTTTCTCGAAATTTTCAGCACCAGCAGAGCAAAAAGCTTTCCCGTGGTATAAAAATGGTACATTTTTGTTGCATGCCAATGGACTGTTATAAAGGCATTCAAGAAAAGGGGGACGAAACTCAACGCATAATTAATTGGAACGATAAAATCGCTGTGTACGAATATTGAAAGTGATGATGATGCGCGACAATAAGACTATCGCATATACACTTTACGTATGCATTACCGAGCCGGATCGACTCAGAGAAAGTTAGCAGAAATGCTAAAAAATAATTTCTTTCACACACTTGTAGATAGTTACTGCCGAGATGAACATCATTAGAATTAGATTGTTTCTTATTCTTTTCTTTTCCTTTTTTTTTATTATTAAGGTCATTCACAGCATTCCCAGTTGATTGTTTGAAACATCAACTGACTTGTACATACAATATTTATTCAGTACGAAAACCCTGTTACTTTTATCTTTATTCTATTTTCATTCCCTGCAATTCACTTTACTCATTCACGTAAAAAGAAAAAAATATATATCTTTTTGGAATTTCTTTGTTTCGCGTCACGAATCAAAATAACCGTGTTCCTTGAATTTAGGAACTCACCTTGTAAATACTTTTGTAAATATCAATAAAAAAAAATTTTTTTTTATTTGTTTTTTTAATTTTAGCCAATGAACTGTTAAAGAATTCTTTTCTCCATACATGATGATGGGATGTTTCTCGCGACCAATAAATGCCATTCACACGTATTAAACTTTCTAAATAACTGGCATATTCCCTGCAACTACGCATTTTCTATACATAATTTACGTTTTTCACGTACGCACGGTAGTACTTTACCGTATGGAGAAAACCGGTCATTGTCAAAAAGGGAGCATGCCTCCTGATTGTTTGTTTGGTAGAATTATAAAATAAATGGCTTATATGAAAATGATATTGCTTTCAAATATATATATATATGTGCTGTATTTGGAGATTTTGATTGACAGAATTACAATAAACGATCTCACGCCTCAATCCAGAAACTCGATTGGCGATCAACCAGAAATTTATTTACCTAACATACATATATGCACCATAATTGCCCTATTTACTATAACGATAAAAAGTTTTCGTGCAACAAGGTTAAACCGCCTAAACGAAAATGGATGTGTTAAATGTCCATAGTGTTTACATAACGAAGGGCCATAACTGGCCTCAATCATTGATATTTACTGGTTCACTGTCGCGTGACGTAACAGTCGCCATTTGTTTGTGTAAACGGAAATAATTGCTTTTTTTTTTTTGAAAAGCCTCCTGAAATATTATCAAAGAACTTTCTCACAATAGGTTTAAATATTTTTTTGCAGGAATCATGTGATTTTAAAATGATAAAACCGTATATAAACAAAAAAAGATACTAAAAATAAAACACATTAAATGTAATAAAATTGCAAGTTATGTTACATTCACAACTTTTCTTTATAAAAATTGTTTTAACAAAACTTTTTATATATTATTATTGTCTATATATTGTTTTTTCTTTCATATATAATATTTTGACAATTCAATGTAAGTTTATTCATTATACAGTATAATAACATCTTTTTTAATAAAGTTGATATCATATCATATAATAAATATAAATATAATATAACTTTAAATTAATAATTTTTTATTATATAACATATTATATATTATAAATAAAATCAAATCATACAATTTATTTAATTGATATAAATCTTAATACTTTATTGAAATAGTAATTTTAAATAAGTTAATATATGCATATAATATTTCTATATTTTTAAATTTTTGCTTTAACAATATGCCAATTTAAAAATCATTTTTATAATAATTATTATATTATCAAAAGTCATTGTATAACTGTTTTAAAAAAATAAATATTATCATCTATTGATTATAAAAATTTATTTATTCCAAATTATCTTTATTATTTTAAAAATAATCATAGATTAAAAAAAAAAAAATCATAATAACAAAAAAATTTCCTTTAAATTAGTTATCTGTTATTTGAATTAAATAGAATTTATGTATTATAAAAAGTATAACTTTTTAAATTAATATAATACTATGCAAAATTATTTTTACAAAACCTATATACAAAAATATTATTAATAGTTTAATGTATTGTATATACAGTATACATTATATCTAAAATTAATTAATCATGTAATTAAAATTTACTATATAAAGGATTTCTATTTAATTAACAATTAAATGATCATATACTGTACACTATAAATTAAAATTTCCTATGAATCAAAAATTATTTTAAATTTTAATGATTAAATGCTATATAAAAAATCATTAAAATTAAATTCATGAAAACACAAAATCCAACGATTATTTGATAATCAATTATTGGATTCGATGAAATTTTTCATATAAAAAGCCGTAATCTAAAATAATTAAATTAAATTAAAAAAATACTTCAAAAAAAATAAATGAATGAATTCTTAGACTCTCAAGTTCGAAAAAAATGTTATAGAATTATTTCACTACTTGACAATTGCGATTTTAACAATTTTTATAATGGACTCATAACTTAAATCTTAAGATAATTGCTATTTTATTAAATGAATTGCTGTATATAATAATTATAAAGATATTTATATTACATATATATGTTGTATATACAGTATATTGAAAATTTAAATCATGAAAAATTCAAATTTAATAAATTTCAATTTAATAAACTTTTTTGAATGTTAAAATTAATGATTCAAGCTTTAAGTACAGTAAATAAATAATTTAAAAATGAACATTAAAGAAATCTGAAGATTTTAAATATTTTGTATCGTCTTCAAGAAAAAAAATTACAAAATAATCGTAATATACACTACATAATATTGATGATAAAGAAAACAGGGAAATGCTTTGTTTGTTTGACCTTCTTACTTTTCTTGTTTGGCATTCAAAGATTTCCAGGTTTTATCGACAAACAAACTTTTACCCTTGAGATTTTTGACCATGAAGCTTCCTACAACTTTACCACCAAACATTGGTAAAAGACCTGCACCCTTGTTCTATTCGTTCAATAAAAAAAGATTAAAATACTGTATGTAAGAAAAAAAAATAATCCATTTTTAATCGCAATGACCGAGATAGTTACCTTTCCAATCGTAACAAACATTACTTCGGGTGGTGACTTATAATCAGTCAAACTATTGTTATTAATCTTTGCCAGTACATTCTTTACTATTATATCGGCATTGAGACCCGCCCGGAAAGCCAGTTTAGTTTCTTTAATATTGATGATATCCCCTGCAGCAAATATACGATCGTAAATGTCATTCTCCAATTCAAGAGTGGGTTTAACCTTGATCAAATTAGTATCAGGTTCAAGAAGTGAGTCATCCAATGTTTTAATAATTTCAGTGTTGGGTTTGCTACCGATAGTCACAAATTGTATATCGGATTCAATCACCCTTCTATTATTGGTTTCCAGGGTAATTGGTGTTAATCCGTTAGTATCGACCGAATTGAGGTTAATTCTTTCTCCTAAAACAAGCTCCACTTGCAATTCTTTTAGCTGATCGGCCAACTTATTCCCCTTTTTTTGTGGATATTTCGAGTT